GGCACAACCCGTGCGAGGCATGTTCCGACATGGGCAGGGGGACGTCATGCGAAGCTGCCAATTGGCGCCACATGTGCAACTCCTTCTGGGACATGATTCGCGTGACGGGTGTGCCGACATGGGCGGGGGGGGCGCTGTACGAACCATGTCTCTGGGCTTTTAGATGGTGCTCCTTATGGGCACGATCCACGTGGTGGTGCTGTGCCGCAATGGCCCAAGAGCGCTCCACGAGGGGTGACCCAGTCGCCCCAAGAGGCCACCGCGAGGACCTCCAGGAGGGACTCAGGAGGGACAAACCATCCCTAAGGTTTTTGAAGGATTTGGGGGCTCTCGCCTCTTCTTTCGGACCAAAAACGGCCAAAGACAATTCTAACAGGCCCACTCTGTGCAGGCACGGAGGCGAATCTCTCTCTCTATATCTATAAATAAATGTATAGATGTGTATATATACGTGTAAAATTGAATACTATGATGTCATATAGGATTCTATTTCCATTGTTTAAAAAGTAATAGTTGTTTAAAGGAATGTGCTTGTGTATACTACAATATACTGGAATGGAACATAAGATGATCTGGTATAATGTATCGTAGTATAATATAATGCAGTAGGGTATCGATAAAATAACATACTACGATATAAACTAACATACCGTACTATGCATATAACGGCGCACCGGGTCCGGGCGCCCGGGGCCGGCGCCGCTCCCTGGCCCCAAGAGGTTCCAGAACAGACCCAGGACGCCCGAAGGTCGCTCCCAGACACCCAACATGGCCTCCAAGGCGGCTTCAGAAGCCCCCAAGACACCCCAAGCGACCCCCAAAAGGGCCCCAAAGAGAGCCCCAAGGGTCCAAAATAGCCCCATTCCCTTTGTAAAACGTATATGTTTAACAAATTGCTTGTTTTCGCTGTCGGTCCGGCCCAGGACGCGCCCCAGAGGGCCCCAATACAGCCCCAGAGAGCTCCAGGACGGCCCACGAAGGGCCCAAGACGGCCGCAAATGTGGGCCCCGGGGCCCTCGGGGAGCCCCGGGGCCTCACAGAAGACCGCCAGAAGGCGCCAAGGAGGCCCCCAGAGGATATATGTGGATGAATACCAGGTCCCCAGCCCGGGGGCCCCGCCCACCTCAAAACCCTTGGGCCCCCCTTTTTCAATACCCCCGCCCTGGCGCCTCCAAGGGGCCTCCAGACGGCCCAGGAGGCCTCCAGAAGGCCTCCAAGACGGCCTCAGGAAGCACCCAAGATGTCCATGAGGGCTCCGAGACGCCACAAGATCGGTCCAATACAGTCAAGATAGTCCCTACACGGCCCAAGAGGCTTCCAAGACACCCCAAAAGGCCTCCAAGAGGCTTTTTCAAGAGGGCCACAAGAGGCTAACAATTGTTGTTTTTCAAGGGTTTGGTGGGAGGATGTTTTGTGGTTCTCACCTTTGCGGCTTCCTGGCGCTCCAAGATAGCCAAAGAGATTCCCGAGATCGCCCAAAGACGGCCCAAGAGGCTCCCAAGACGGCCCCAAGACAGCCCAAGAGGGACCCAAGCAGCCCAAGAGGCCTCCAAGACGGTCCAAGATAGCCCCAAGACGGCTCTAAGAAGGGACCCAGACAGGGAATCCGAACGGACTTTTCGAGCCTTCGGCCCCAGAAAGCTCCCAGGAGACTCCAAGAAGCGCCCCGGAGGCCCCCAAGACGCCGCCAGAAGCCCCCGAAGGGCTCCCAAGATGCATGTCACGGGTGCGCGACAAACAGATGCCATGGGCCATGCTGGTGGTCTCTCCCCCTGTGCTGGTCTCGCGGGAGACGCTGCAGGATCCCATGTTCCCTTGGTTCATCGTCAGGCTTCGAGCCTCCATTAGGATACGCTTCTTCGCCGTCTTCGGCCCCGGGTGGGCGCCGTGCCTTGTGGAGGCTATTTTCCACCATCGCGGGCCCCGGCGATGAGGAGGAGGAGGAGGAGGAGGAGGAGGAAGAGGAGGAGGAAGAGGAGGACGACGACGACGAGGAGAAGATGGAGTGGTTTTCGGAAGCCTGTTGAGGGTTCGGAAGTCATCGTGGCTTACCACCAGCTCCCAGAGATCGGTCTTGCCTTGCTCTACCCCGATGCCATTGCATTCCCCGTGGGATCTGCTTTCTCCCCTGACCGTGGTAGTACAAATATTAGGTGGGAAATTCACAGGTTCATGACGCGTCCTTCAGGATGCACACGATCCCTGCTTCTGACTCGCTTCCTCCTGCTCCCTCCTTCTCCTGCTGCTCCTTCCTCCCACCCTCCCTCCCTCCCGGGGCTGCGTTCCCCCCGCCCCGGCCCGACCGGGGCCGCATTCGCATCTTCTTGGAGTAGTTTTTTGCCCCGGTTCCTGTTTCTCGACGGCCCCTGGGCCCGAAACCGGCTCCCCCAACATGAAAGGCAGGAGAGGCCCCGAGGGAACGCCGTCGGCGTCGCGTCGGGCCCGCCGCGCCGCCCTCGAGGGCGGGCGCCTCCTGTCCGGAGGCCGTTGAGGCCCGGGGCAGAGTGCAGGACCCAGTCCCTCTCGCTCGGGGAAGGAGAAGCGACACCACCACCACCACCACCACCACCACCACCACCACCACCACCACCACCACCACCACCACCACCACCACCACCACCACCACCAGGGGAGCCACCTTCATCGAGAAGGTCCGCGATGCCCCTTCAAGCTGGAGGTTGGGGATGTCTCGAGCGGGGAGGTGTGGCCACACCACCAGGGGGCATCCCCTGGCTCCTCGCCCTGGTGGTGGTGGTGGTGTCGCTTTTCTTTGCTCCCACCTCGCGTCGGGACGAAAAAACACGACGGGAAGCTTTTGCACAAGTTCCAGCCTCCAGGGGGCCCTTGCGGGGCCCCTGGACCGTAAGACACAAGGCGGGATGAACAGGCGGCCCCGGGAAGTCGTCCGGATATGCTGGGCCCACGTTGTGAACACATCCCGGCGTCGAGTGTTTTGCGAGGTGGAGGAGGGGGATGAGGAAGAGGGATAAGGAGGAGGAGGAGGAGGAGGAGGAGGAGGAGGAGGACGAGGAGCAGGCGGAGATGGAGGAAGAGGAGGAGGAAAAAGAGAGGGAGGAAGAGGAAAGGAGGAGGAGGAGGAGGAGGAGGAGGAGGGAGAGGAGGAAGATGAGGGGGAGGGAGGAGGATGATGTGGATGAGTAGGAGTAGGAGATGAGGGAAGATGAGGAGGAGGAGGAGGGAGGAGGAGGAGGAGGAGGAGGAGGAGGAGGAGGAGGAGGAGGAGGAGGTAGAGGAGGGGGAAAAGGAGGAGAGGGGGAGGAGGGGGGGGATAATATGGAGGAGGACGGGAGTGGAGAGGAGGGAGGAGGAGGAGGAACAGGAGGACGAGGAGGACGAGGAGGAGGAGGCGGAGGAGGAGAAGGAGGAGGACGACGACGAGTCGGAGGATGCGGAAGGGGAGAGAGGGGGGGGGAGGAAAGAGGGGGAGGAGGAGGGGGGGAGGGGGAGGAGGGGAAGGAGAAGGACGGGGGGAGGAGGGGAAGGAGAAGGAGGGGGAGGAGGAAGGAGGAGGAGGGGGAGGAGGAGGGGAGGGGGGGGGATGAAAGGAAGAGGAGGGGAGGTGGAGGAGGAGGAGGAGGGGGAGGGGGGGGGGGGGGAAGGAGGGGGAGGGGGAGGAGGGGGCGGAGAGGCAGGAGGAGGCGGAGGGGGAGGAGGAGGACGGGGAGGAGGTCGGTTTTCTGGGCTAACGCCACATACTTGGACCTGTGCCTGGTCATACCGTGTTCGGAGCTGTTCCGTGGCCATGGCTAGAACCTAAGCGCGCGCGAAGCGCGCGCGTGGTTCTAGCCGCCGCCGATGGGCCTCTGAGGCCTCAGTACTGCCTCAGGACGTCTTCAGGACGGTCCTTCCGGGCCCCAAGAGGGACCTGGAAGGACCTTTGGAGGGCCCCAAAGGTACCCATGAGCTCTCCAAGAGGGCTCCAAGATGCACCCCAAGCCCTCATATCCGAGGCCCGCCTCGCTGCAAAATAATGATAAAAACAAAAATAGCTTTGAATAAACAGTATCCAGGGCCCGGCCCCACAGGGTATTCCATGCGCGCCCCCAGAGACGGCCACAGAAGGGCCCCCCAAAGGGCCCTGACAGGCCCCGAAGGAGGGCCCAAAACATAGCCCCAGAAGGGGCGGTCCCAAGAGCCCCCCCCAAATTCAAATCCGAGGCTTTGCCCAACAGGGACTTTCAGCTACGGCTGGTTCTTTCACTTCGCGGCCTGGCAAGGGGGGCGGGCCACGGCGCCGCACCGCCAGCCACCTCCGTGTCGACAGGCGAGGAGGGAGGCTGTTGCGGCGCGGGGTGGGGCGGAGGCCCTCCCCGAAGGGGACGAAAGGGTCGTTCTGGAAGAGCTGATCTGCTAAACTACCTGCGTCCCAGAGGGCCGCTGGGATTTGATTGCGGGAGGGGGGCGGGGGGGGTCTCACGTGTCCACCAGTCTGCGTTGACAAGTGGCAGGAGTATCATTTCAGCGTTTGTCGTGGCGTTCGTGTGGCGGTAGGAGGAATAATCTAGCCTGTATATGCAAGCCTAGCATGCTAACCGCATATGGCCATACATTTACACACACACACATATATATATATATATATATATAGCAGTTCGATAGATCGACATGGGAAATATTTACGGTGAACACCGTGCGGACGAGTCCGCACCAGCTGCGGGGGGGGGGGCGAATACGCATCCGTCATCGCCTCACTCGCCGCTCTTGCCATTGTTTTTCTACAGCATCTACCACCCCTGTCCCATGCCATCTCCAGGCTTGTTGGCCCCAAAAGAGCTTGGGCCAAGTGCAAGCACACTCACGTTCCGTCTGTAGCACTGTGCGTGTATAATACGGTGCACGGACTCGTGCAAGTCAACTTTTGCGTTCCGAGAGATTTTTCGACACGTGAGCGTTCCGCCGTGGCGGCGAGGAACAGTGTGTGATATCTCACGTTGGAAAAAGGGACGGCTCCCAAAGCGGCGGCGTCGTCGGAGCTGTCCCAGAAGGTGCCGTCGGAGATACGGTGTCTGATGCAGCCGAAATTTAGACATGGGCGAATCTCGCTCGGGCCCCTGGCCTTTTTGCGCCTTCTCGTCCCTCCGTATGCGTATTGGCTCAAGCCGTTTGGATTGACGGTATGTTTGCTCAAGTTGGCTTTTGGGCGTGTTTTGATGGAGACGTGATGTCCAATGTACTGAAGGCCTCTTTGACTTTGTCTACCTTGCCTTGGCTGTTGGTGGTTCTTCTGTGGCATACCGCCCACCATCTTCTGCGGCAGCCCGTAGAGCATCTTCTGCGATCTTATGCGGCAGTCCCCTTTACACTTGTCGCACCGTCGACGGGCAGATGCACCAGTGATGCCAGCCTGGTGCACTTCTTCTCGCACCTGTCCTCCCCTGATCCCGAGAGGCAGCGGCTCTTCGCGGAGGCCGGAAGGATAGATATTTTAAATGGGTACGCGTCCAGCTCGATTTGGATCGACAGGGTTCACACCTACACCGAGCTGCCGCCCGAATTGTTGGGCGACGCGCGCTGGGAGAAGCATCTGAATGCTTCGAGGGGCCACGGCTTCTGGTTCTGGAAGGTAGCCTTGGCGAATCTCCTCTTGAAGTCTGGACGGATCTGTGACCGCGACGTATTGATATATACGGATTCGGATTTTGCTTGCTTCGCCAAGCCGCAGTTCGACGCTTACATTCAAGGGGTGGTTTCTCTATTGGAAGCGACAAGCGTCGACATGGTTGTGCAGCCCCAGCCGGAGAAATTAATGGAGCGAAAGTGGACGAAGGGTGACGTTTTCCGTCGGTTCGGTACTGATTGGAGGAGCTATGAGTTTGGTGGTTCGGCCCAAATTACGAGTCAGCGTTTTGCTCTGAGAGTCAACAATCGTACTCGCGAGTTCCTTCATCAATGGGAGACGTTGGCATCTGATTTCCAGCTAATCTCAGATGCAAAATCGATATCACCCGACCCGCCAGGCAGCGTTCATTACCGACATGACCAGAGCTTATTTTCGATGCTGGTCAAGGCCACGGTGGCGTCAACGTCTCACATGCGGTTTGGTGTGGCTAATTTGACAATTGCAATGGGCGACGGTTTCGGGCATGTACATCCGCAGTGTCATGACGCTGCCACAGTTGTACGACCATGGCAACTGGAGTTGCAAAATCAAAGTAACAACCAAAAGGCCATGCAAACACGTCCGAATGCTTAATCCCCTGAGCCAAGACTACACTGTACTGCCAATCTGGACGGCATACATCTCAACGTCGGCTGCCCAGTTTTGGATCGTGCGCTGCTTAATATTGCCCGCCATAGAAATCGCGAGGTTCAACTTCGAGACTGTGTTCCCTCGGACTGCAACGAAGGAGCGCCATTCGTGCTGGTGAGCATTGTATCGGACAATGCCTTTCCTGCGTGCCGCCATGTCGGGCGCCCCTATATGCTCGCGCCTGTACACTTCCGTTTCCCTCCAGTTCCTCCTTCTTCCTCGTCTTTAGATTCCTACTCCTTGTTTTTTATACTCCTCGTGGCCTTTCTTGCCTCCAACCTTCTCCCCCTCCTCATGCTCCCGCTCCTGCTGCTCCTCTTCGCCTCTCTCCTCCGCGCCTTCTTCCTGCGCCTTACCATTGTCTTCCGTGTTCCTCCTATCCCTCCATTTCCCCCTCCCCTTTCTTCTTCCATTCCCCATCATCATCCTCTTCCCCCCTTTCCCTTCCTACTGCTGCTGATCCTCCCCCTCCTCCTCGTCATCTAAAGGCTGCCGCCTCTGCCGCCGACCGAAATTGAGCGACGTATGTTTGATTCGTTTGTTGTCGGGGTGTCCTTCCGAGTACGGCAGGAAAGGTTCAGGTGAGACATCCAGGCCTGAGCCTCGCCCCCTGGACTCATGATTCTCTGTTGCGCCTCGGACTCCTCTCTATCGTGTGGCCTTCCGTCACTGTGCCTAGGTTGAAGGTATGAAGCCCATTGGATGTTCGTTGGGATTTCGCGGTGGACCTTTTTTGAGGCCTCTTGGGGGCAGTCTTGCGGCCTCTTGGATGCAGTTTTGAGGCCTCTTCGGGGCAGTTTTGCAGCCGCTTGGGGTTGCTGTTGGGTACCTTGGGGGCCTCTTGGAGCCTCTTGGGGCCTCTTGGGTGCCTCTTGGGGCTCTTGGGGCCCTCTTGGAGGCCTCGTGGGCAGTCCTGGAGTGGTATTGGGGACCTCGTGCCGTCTGGGAGCGTCGGAAAGGAACAGGGCCAGAACGCCAACATGTTTCAAACAACGAAGGCAAGTCAATGATTTTTGCCTCTCAGGGTCCTCTTGGGAGGCATCTTCGAGGCCTCTTGGGGCATCTTGGAGGCCTTTTGGACCATCATGAGGCCATGTAGGGCGCCCTGTTGGCCCGTTTTGGGGCCTCCATTGCTCCGAAGCAGTCACGCGAGAAACCGCGGGAAGCCCCAGGAGAAGATTTCGCGATGTGGGGTCTGGATCTCTGAACGACTCCTCAGGGATGAGGACTGAGATTGAGAGGGTGATGGCAAGGACCTGAGGGCACGCCCACTCCGTGCCCAGAGGCACGGTGGCGGATCTACATAACCATGAGAATATGATGATCATGGTTCTGACGGGTCGCATCGCATTTCCGAGCTCCACTGGGGGAGCCGCTTGGGGGCATTCCAATTTGTTTTTGGTTGGAATCGTGGGAGAATGTCAGTGACTCGGGTTAGCGGTCGGTGGATTGGGCGAGGTGGCAAATATAATCCAGGAGCAGCGATGACCCCATCCCCGAAGGGGAAAAATGGGCTTGGGCAAGGAATCGCGATTGACCATCTCCTGCCCAGGAGGCAGGGGAGGGGTTTTGAGCTAGGAGACCACATGCGAGAAGTTGTCCAGGTTGGTTTCGGCGGCGCCATCATGGTCATTTCGGGCCTTGAGATGCCCCCTGTGAGGCGGTCCTGTCGGTCTCGCCTGAGACATCCCTGCAAGTTTGGGCTTCGAGATGCCGCGCGAAAGATAGTCCAGCCCATTTCGCTTAGACATCCTCGCCGTTGTGGGCTTCGAGGCACGCGAGAGGACCATCCAGCTTCCCCTCACACATTCGCAACTCAGGGCCAATTCATGCCCTCACCTGAGCAGGTCCAGCCAGATTCGCTTCACACTTCGTCACAACTCTGGGTTTGGATATGACCTGGCCTGAGGTCGTCCAGCCATCGTCGCCCGATGCATCCTCGTTGTTCTGGGTTAGTCGATGCTCTTGTCTCACGGTATCCGATACCGTTTCCTCGTTGTTCTGGGTTTGCAGCTGACGTGGACTGATCGTTTCGCTTGAGATCTCCTGGCAACTCTGGGTTCATGTACTTTGCTCCTCATCTCACGTGGTCCCGGTCCTTTTCGCCTGGGACATCGTCGGGATTGTGTTTTCGGGGATGTCCACACTTGAGGTGGTTCAACCAATTTCGCCCGAGATCTCCCCTCTCTGGGCTCAGAGATGTCATGCCAATGCTGTCGCCGATGGCCCATTCGACAATCTAAAGGTTGCCGCCTCTGCCGCCGACCCCTTTTGAGCGATGTCTGTTTGATTCGTTTGCTGTCGGGATGCCTTTCCGAGCACGGCAGGAAAGGTTCAGGCTAGACATCCAGGCCTGGGCCTTGCACCCTGGACTCCTGATTCTCTGTTGCACCTCTGTTGGTCGTGGGTATAAAGCTTATTCGATATTCGTTGGGATTTCGTGGGGGACCCTTAGAGGGCCTCTTGGATGCAGTTTTGATGCCCTTAGGGGGCCTCTCGGGGGCAGTTTGGAGCCTGGTGGGGACGCTGTGGTGGAGTTTTGTTTCATCCGCTTTTGTTTCGTCCGCTTCTGTTTCGTCCGCTTTTGTTTCGTCCGCTTTTGTTTCATCCGCTTTTATGGCATCCGCTGTGGTTTCGTCCGTATTTTGTTTCGTCCGCTTTTGTTTCATCCGTTTTTGTTTCGTCCGCTTTTGTTTCGTCCGCTTTTGTTTCGTCCGCTTCGTTTTCGTCCGCTTTGTTTTGCGTGATTCGTGTGGAAGCTGGGGGAATGACAACCGGATGAATCTGATCTGGACGTATTAAAACCAGATGAATTCAAACCGGGAGAATCAAAATTGGATGAATTTAAACCGGACGAATTAAAACCAGATGATTTTAAACGGGCGAATCAGACCGGATGAGTTGAAACCGGACGAATTAACACCACCGGATGAATTTAAACGGACGAATTAAAACCGGATGAATTTAAACCGGGCGAATTATAATCGGCTGAATTTCAACGGGGCGAGTTATAATCAGATGAATGTTAACCGGGCGACTTGAAAACGGATGAATTCAAACCAGATGAATGCAATGAGCTCCCAGACCGCCCCAGAGAGCTCCTAGAAGCCCTCGGGGACTTCGACAAGCCCCTCCAAGACAGCCCAGATAGCCCCAACATGGCCTAGGATGGGTTCTAGACCGCAGATACACAGCCCAAAAGGCCTCCAAGGGGCCTCAAGAGAGCTCCGAGAAGCATCCCAGGAGAGCCCGAAGAGGCCCAAATCATTGATTTTCATTGGTTTGGTCAATGTTTTTTCGGTTCGACCTTCCGACGCTCCAAGACGGTCGACGACGCTCCCAAGACCGCCCTGAGATTGCCGAAGAGGCCCCCAAAAAAGCCCCGACACGGCACCAGGGAGTTTGGTGGGGGCGCGGCGGGGGGGGGGGCCGGCGAGGTTTTTGCAGGGTGGGTGGCCCTTCAGAAACTAGGCCCAGGACCCCAGGAGGCTGGCGGTGTCAGGCGCGGTGGGGGCGTGGCGGCGGCGCCGGCGAGGTTTTTGTAGGGTGGGTGGCCCCTACGAACCCAGGCCCAGGACGCCAGGGGGTTCGCGGTGTCATGCGCGGCGGGGGCGTGGCGGGGGGGCGCCAGCGAGGTTTTTGCAGGGCGGGTGGCCCCTCAGAACCCAGGCCCAGGACGCCAGGAAGCTGGCGGCGTCAGGCGAAGTGGGGGCGCGATGGGGAAGGTGCCGATGAGGTTTTTGCATGGTGGGTTGCCGCTAAGAACCTAGCCCCAGGACCCCGGGAGGCTGGCGGTGTCAGGCGCGGCGGGGCTGTGGCGGGGGTCGCCGGCGAGGTCGGCGCAGGGTGTGCCGGCGACGTTTTTGCAGGTGGGTGGCCCCTCTGAACCGAGGCCCAGGACGCCGGGAGGCTGGCGGTGTCAGGCGCGGTGGGGGGGGCGCCGGCGAGGTTTTTGCATGGCGGGTGGCCGCTAAGAACCTAGGCCCAGGACGCCAGGAGGCTGGCGGTGGGGGCGCGGTGGCAGGGGTGCCGGCGAGGTTCTTGCAGGGAGGGTGCCCTCAGAACCTAGGTCCAGGATGCCAGGGAGGCTGGCGGTGTCAGGCGCGGTGGGGGCGCGATGGGGGGGGGCGCCGGCAAGGTTTTTGCAGGGCGGGTGGCCCTTGGGAACCTGATTAGAGCCAGGACGCCAGGAGGCTGGCGGTGTCAGGCGCGGTGGGGGCGCCGGGGGTTGAGGCGCCAGCGAGGTTTTTGTAGGGTGGGTGGCCCCTCAGAACCTCGGCCCAGGACGCCGCTGTCGGGGTCAAGAGCGGCGGGGGCGTGGCGGTGAGGGAGCCGGCGAGGTCGGTGCAGGGTGGGTGGCCCCTGAGAACCTAGGGCGAGGACACCAGGAGGCTGGGCGGTGTCAGGCGCGGTGGGGGCGTGGTGTGGGGGGGTGCCAGCGAGGCTTTTTCAGGGTGGGTGGCCCCAGGAGGCTGGCGGTGTCAGGCGCGGCGGGGGCGTGGTGGGGGGGTGCCGGCGAGGTTTCCGCAGGGTGGGTGGTCCTTGAGAACCCAGGCCCAGGACGCCAGAGGGTTGTCGGTTTCAACGGTGATTCTTGACCGTGAGAAAATAAACGTTAACCATGAGGAAACAAAAACAATACGTTAAACAATACGCAAAAACTGCACAAAAAATCAATACGCAAAAAACAATGGCAAAATGTGGGATGGAACCGCATGCGGGCGCTGCCACTGGGGCCTCAGGTGGAGCACCCTGTGGGACCACGTAACGCGCGAGGAGTTCGCCGCAACGGGGGGGAACCGCATGCGAACGCAGCCACTGGGGCCTTCGGTGGAGCTCCCTATGGGGCCACGAAGCGTGTGAGGGGTGTGCCGACATTGCGAGGTGGCGGCATGCGGGCCCTGGCACTGGGGCCTTCGGTGGAGCTCCCTATGGGGCCACGAAGCGTGTGAGGGGTGTACCGAAAGGGCGGTTTGGCGGCACGCGGGCCCTGCCGCTGGGGCCTTCGGTGGAGCTCCCTATGAGGGCACGAAGCGCTGTAACGGGTGTGCCGAAACAGAGACGTGCGGAGGGCAGAGGCAAGGAGGGGGAGGAGGGAGGAGGGAGAGGAGGAGGAGAGGAGAGGAGGAGAGACGCGGGGCGCTGTCTTTTCAAAACGAGGACCCAACACCACAGGATGGCAGGGAAAAAACAAGTGGGCGTCAAGACGGCCCAGAGAGCCCCAAGGCGGCCCAAGAGACGCCCCTGAGGGTCCCAAAAGGTTTCCAAGA